CCAGAGGAGGGCCACAAAAATAGTCAGGGGGATGGAACACCTCTCCTATGAGGACAGGCTGAGAGAGTTGTTCTCTCCTCAGTCTGGAGAAGAAAAGGCTCCATGGAGACCTTACCGCAGCCTTTCAATACTTAAAGGGGGTTTATAAGAATAACAGAGAGAGACTTTTTACCAGGGCCTGTAGTGGCAAGACAAGGGGCAACAGTTTTAAACTGAAACAGGGTAGGTTTAGGTTGGACAGAGGGAAGAAATTATGCTGAGGGTGGTGAGACACTGGCACAGGTTGCCCAGAGAAGCTGTGGCTGCCCCCTCCCTGGCAGTGCTCAAGGCCAGGCTGGATGGGGCTTGGAGCAACCTGGTCTGGTGGGAGGTGTCCCTGCCCATGGCAGGGGGGTTGGACTAGATGGTCTTTAAGGTCCCTTCCAACCCAAACCATTCTGTGATTCTAAGAATTAAGGCAAGAAAATTCCCTTATAGTAGATTAATGTTATCTTGTGATCACAGACAAACTTGAACTCCAGCAAGAACCCCTGTACCTGTTTCATTTTAAAAGGAGGAATCCCTTCGGCTCCATAGTTAAGGCCATTACGCAACCATGGTCTTTGAAAAAAAGAGTGTGGTTTTAAGTAACCTCAAGTTTAGCATGAACTGGAGTGATATATGGATACAAACAGGATGTCAAAGGACAATTCTAACTGAAACTGTCCCCGCCAATAGAAAATCGGCTGTTTTGCTAATGAAGAGAGCAAACTCCCAAACACAGCATTAGGGCTGACAAAGGCTGTGTCTGTAAACTAGTCTCCAGCACTAATTACAAGGCTTATATTTCCTTTTCATCCCACTAATCTTTTAAATATTGCAGTGAGTCTCAACCTTCTAGCACACTTATCATGCTGAAAAATGTAAGTAATAAACTCTTGGTAATTCACTCTCTCAAAGTGAGAAGAATCTGCCAGCTCGTACAAAATCAGCATTTCAGAAGTGGAACAAGAATTCCCGTGCTACTTGTTTGAAATGAAAAGAAATCTCCGTGGGCTATATGAAATGCATACTCATTGTTTTAAAACATAATACAAGAGAGAAAGCATCCAGCAGTATTGCAAAAAACATTGAGGTACAGTCAGGTAAAGTGAGGGAAGTGCAGAATAATCTTTTACATTTGTTTCAATTTTTAAGTGTCTTTCTTTTAAAAAAAGTTAAGGTCTAAAAAGTGACCTGCAGTTTTAATTCCTGCTCTTGAATGCCCAACCATGCCTTTTTAATAGGCTGAGAAAATGGCTGTACCAAACATTCTCACTTATTCTGTGTGTGCTGCTAGCAATAATTTCTGTCAATAAATTTGAGTTGGCTATACCATACATCTATTTTTGTGAATTTTTTTAAGGCTCTTTTCACATTCACTGGAAGATTTCTTTTTTAGGGATCTGTGAGGCTGACAAAGTGAGATTAACTGTCTTAAATTGACAAAACAGAAGGGTTGTCCTGATAATTGCTCTCTTCCCACTATTCGATTGCAAAGTGGGCAAAAAGTCTTCTCTTAAAAAGTACATCCAGATCAATCTAAATAAAAAAGAAATCATAATGAAAACCCGAAGTGAAATTTATTCTGTCATTGCAGTAACTATTTATATGCCATTAAAACCTTCCTGGAATAAAAAAGCTTCATAGTTGCTTCTGAGTACCGTCAGTTCCCTAACACAGCTCATACAAATTTCACCTAAAAAAAAGGTGACTAGATCCTCGTCACCTCTTGTCAATGAGATCTTTTGAATATTGCACCCATACTACTTATTTTGACTTGGAGCCGTAAGTCCTCTATTTCACATTTTGAGTTGACCACCTTCTTCAGTTCAAATGAAGGAAGAACATCCATAAGACAGATAGTCGGACGTACACTGCTAATCAATGCCTAAAACTTAGTTTAGATATCCCTTGGTTTACAGTCTTAAGACAGAAGACATGAATAACATTTTATCTGTAACTACCATGAACACACCTGCTGGTTTACATAACAATAACCTGTTCTAGTGGTCATTTATCTAGAGTTTTGGCAGATTAAAGCATTTTACTTGAATTCCTGTAATGGGTTTGCACGACAAGGTTTTGGTAGCAGGGGAGTTACAGGGGTGGCTTCTGTATGAAGGTGCTAGAAGTTTCCCCTATGTCCGATACAGCCAGTAACAGCCGGCTTT